GAACGATGCGTCGCGTGCACGGCGGTTAAGGGGTGGAAACCGGGAAAGCATGCCGGTTTAGTCCAATATCATCCGCAGCGAAGGTTCGAGCAGGTGGCCGTCGATGTCCAGACAGTGACCCCCCGGACAGGGTCTGGCAATATCAAGATTCTGGTCTTAATTGACACATTCACTCGCTTTGCACGTGCAGTGGAGCTGCGCGGCGTCGTCGCGGCGTGGCCGACGCGCGACGATGCCGCCGCCGCGCGCGAGGTCCGCGACGCCGTCCGGTGGCTCGACACGCTCCAGAACCTCGAGGAGAGGAAGCTCGTCGCTACCGTCTCGTTCCACGCGCTGCAGAGGAGCGCCGTGCAGCACGCCGACGCGCAGGATGCCGGCGCGCGCCCGGAGAGGCTCTCCAAGTTTGCAAAGGACCTTAATGTTATAGACCTGCAGATTAATGACCTGCTGCAGGAGGTCCGAGAGTACTACCAGCAGCATCGGGAGGAGAGCGGGAGCGCATGAGGGAAGCGTGGAGAGGAACCCTTGTTTTAATGCAACACGCGATTCAACTTGAACGCCCAAAGGACAGGCGGCCCATCGCGGCCTCCGTAGCCTATCTGCGTCTGCTAGTCGCTCTCGAGCCTCTCCATTTCCGCCCGGAGACTCTCCAAACCGGCCATGAACTCCCCCCCGAACGCCGCCGTCAAAGCTGCCCGCGCGTCAAAGTCGACAAACGCGTGCAGTCTCCCGTTCTTCCCGACCGCTTCCACAACTTGTTCAAACTTCCAAATATTCGCCCCCGTCGCGAACGCGTCCGACTTGATATCCACTGCCACGATCCCAGTTTCTCGCCCAGCAATCGCCCCGCTCACTTCGCCCACCAGGGGAATCCGCCGCATCACGTTCCGTATGGCACTTTGATCCAAGCCCCGCTCCCGCTCGTTGTCCCACACATACCAATCCAAGGCATCTAGTATCGACCACGACAGCACCCGCCCGCAGCCCAGCGTGCCAGAGATCGGCGTCGTGAACGACCGATATCCCCTGGTGTAGACGAGACGTCGCGACTTGAGGTCGAAAAAGTGGATGTCGCGTAGGCCCACCACGTGCTGCGCTGGCGGGCGCACGTGCATCAGGTTGCGCACTTGCAGGAAGAATTTGTCATTGATCACATCGTCAGAACCGACGATGGCCACGGCATGCGGTACGGCCGCTTGTTTCCCTCTTCGCTTCCTGTCCTCGTAATAGGACCGCATCGATTGGATACCTTTGTTGTGTTTTGCACCGAGCGGACTGTTGGGGTGAATCACGAAGGACGCGCTGTATTTTTGGGCTAATGCGGATGTAGTGGCGTTGTCGGAGCCGGTAAGAAATAGATCCAGGAGCACGCCCTGTTTCACGAGACGCTTTTTGGAGGCTGAGTATTGAGACAGCACGAAATCTGTGAGCAGCGGCCGCCTCCACACGCACATAAACACCACAATGGAGAAAGGGGCTGCATGTATACCGTCAGCAGATGATTTAGCATATGACTCCGTAACGAGTAGAGACGCGATACAGGAGACGGCCAAGATGCGCATGACGAGCACAAGCGCAGCATTCGAGTGCGCTAGTTTTCCTTCCATTGATGGGCGCAACTTTCGCAGCGATAAAACACGGTCATCGGTTCGTCTGCGGACCTTGTCTGCATCTGGAAGAAATAGGCCTTGCCGTGTGCACATTTCGGACAGGGGGCGTCTGTAGAATCGGCGAGCTCCCAGGCAGACTCTCCTCCAAACACGTCGTCCTTAGCCTTCCGCGGAAGGTTGGTGACGCTGCGCTCGATGCGGGTGACGACGGGGTGCACGTAGGTGCACGTGCGGCATTCGAAGCGAAGGCGCGTGTGCGGCTGGTCCGAGTTGCGCTGGTTCGTGACTAGCGTGTTGGAGCACTGCGGGTGGGTTGAGATGTGGCCGCAGGAGGGGGAGGGCATGAGTCAGCTGCCGGGCGGAGAGGGACGGCGGGGGGGTGGGGAGGGCGGTGATCGCGGTGGGGTTTGACGTACAACCGGGCAGAACAACATCGGTGGGCGCGCTGTGGCTGGCGACCACGTCTGCGCGTGTGGAGAGGGCTCGCTAAGGGCGGAGCTGGTAGTGGAAGAGTTTGTTGATAATTCGTGACCCCTGCAACAGCGGGTGCAACTCTCTCCTCCCGCGAAGATATGCGCGACTTGCAGGCTGCTGCACGGGGGAAGGGGGAAGGGGGAAAGAAGTAGCGAACGGTTGCTGTGCTCTATGCAACTTTTGAAACAGAGGCCACAGTAGAGAATGCGCCATGCTGTGCGCTCACATGTGTACTGGCCAAAACCACACTGTAAGCTTTTTTTACAGTTTTGCGCAAAGACTGCAAAGACTGCAAAGACTGCAAAGTCGGCTGTGCAATGCAATGCAAAACGTGTACGCTTGAACTACTTTCTACTCGTATGATAATTTAACCGTCATTTTACAACAAAACTATGCGACATCTTCATTTATGGAAGCTGGCAAACATGCTAGTATGGTACAGGGCCACCCGTTACGCTTAACGTATTGCCTCCACGGAGATAATATCTGAGAGAGTATTATTCTCTTCCCTTCATGGCTGATGTCACAGAGGGATGTTGTCACAGCTGAATGCAAAAGCTATATACTTTGCATTTCTCAAGTTTCTCTCTGGTTGCTGCTTCTTAATATCCCCTACTACTTTGAAACAAACTTCGCATGCAGAGCTCCAAAATTAATGTTTCATTTCAGACACAAAACAATGTAACAAAGCTATTTAAATTCATGACTTGAAACAGTTCCGCACATCCACGAAACAAAAATTTGAGTAATAAGGAAACATTTATGTCATCTAGTATAGTGGCACTCATCACTTATGCACATGAGGCATCATACATACTCGGTTCGCGCGTCGAAACCATTTTCATCCGTGCTCCAAACTGAACCAATTTCGAAAAAATTATACACAGGGTATTTAGTCCATGCTTTCTACTTGACGGAGGACGGAAGCAACTTGAGATGGTCTGCCAAGTCCGCCCCTGCCTTTGCTGACCCGATGGGACCTGAATATTTCTTGAGAAGCTTCATCAAGCGACCCCGATGCCGGTCAAACATTTCAGACCGTTCCTGCACATTGTACGGAGAGCACCCACGGGTCACCTTCACAACAGTGTAGCTCATTCCAGTCAGGGGGAAGAATTCCTTCTCGTTCGCTTTTGCTAACTTCGCGTTGTACTTGAATCGCCTCAGAAGCAACTGCACGTTTTGAGACGACGCGCCCGTTTGCGCGTATAACTTCGCGTCTACATTTCCGCTCAAAAAGAAATAGTATCCGTACTGTAAATAGAAATATGCAACATAAGGGGATGGACGAAAGAAGAGGTTAGTTATCGTGCACAACGCTTTGTTCAAATGAAAGCTTGAAGACATAGGAAGTTCTGTACTTACGCGTAAGTAGTTTCCGTATTCTTCCCTCTGAACAGTTCGCTCGTTTGGGTCTTCGCCTGGAGCTAGCATGAAAGATATGTCCGTTGACAGCACGTGGTCGGGACGCGCAACCTTCTTTAAGGCAGAGCGTCCGAGCATGTTGGCAAACTTCAGCAACCAAGAAATGAATTTCAAATATGGAACGGAGGTTGACGCCTTCCCGACAGACGTTGCCACCTCTCCCAAACTCTTCACTGCAATCATCTGCTCCTCGCTCAACTTGTCAATTTCCATGATTGTGAACCTCATCACCACATCCCGGATGACATTGGCCATGTCCATGTCGCTTCCCCGTTTCTGAACGAAAAGTCTCTTTGTCGCTGGAATCGGGATGAAGGTGTTGGGCTTCGAACCGCTGTCATGTCCATCTGTCTCAGGATCATAGTGAACGAAGGGTAGGTCGCCGGGTCTGATCGGGAGTGACTTCGGGAGATCATCTAGATCCAGAGTCTTACCATTGGCGAGCCCTGAATACCTTTCAGGGTTAGCCGCAGATCGTTTGCAGTTGGCACAACTGTTTAAACTGTCGGCAGTGCTATCTGAATATCGCCCAGGTTTCTTGATGGGGTGTACTGAACGTTTGTCTGGAGTGCTCAAAGGGGATGTCATGGGATCGAGAGAGAAAGTACTTGTGACTGTGCTCGAGCCTGAATCTGAGATTGGGATATTCACGTCCGTGTCGTCATGGTCGAGACAGTCCTCTTTTCTTGCCAGACTACACAGCATCAATTCATTGTCTCCCAACAAGTCTTGTGTGGAGACGCTCATGCCGACGAAAGATATTTCAAAATCATCACCCATCCGAACGACATCGGTGTGTTCCTTCGGGTTAATTTTGATGAAGTCAGCCGCAGAAACACGTTCGTTCGAGGTAGTCACGTTGGGGCGCTCCGGTGCAAAGAAGACGGAGTCAGTCGCGCCACACTGCGCTGCTTCCACATGCACTCTCCGCCTGGGTTCCCAACGAATGTGCCGGCCAAACCAGTTCCTCTTTCGAAGACCGGTGCCCACAGAGCTTCGCAAGGCTTTGTTTTCCACCCGGATGGAGACTGTCGAGGATGGCGAGGTCTCTGAGGGGAACATGCGAGTTGACAATTGCTTCACAATATCAGTCATGATGGAAGAGTGGAAGAAAACACAAGGACACGCTGCTTCGATGGGCTATGGTTGATGATAACTTGGAGTAAACTCTCTTGGGTTTTTATAAGGTTCGGAACTGGAATGGCGAGAACATTGAGCCTCAGCACATTGTCATGTAGTCCTCATCGGATGCCACATCCTAGAGAAAATTTGTGTTGCCGACGTCCTCTTCTTTACATTATGTTGTCCCATTCATGCAGTACCCATAGCACTGAAGTGAGCCGTTCGAGGCGGGTCCATGCGGGTCCATGCGGGTCCATACGTAATGTACCCCTCACGTAGTGAGATGCGTGTGAGAACATAAGAGAGATGGCCTGTGCGAGAAACAACATGTGACACACCTCGTCGGAAGTGCCTCCCTGGCAATTGTCGCAACAACTCACCAATTTCGTCGCTTCTGAGAGTGGACGCTGTATTCGACAATTCTGCCAACTGGAATCTACGTCTGTGTGCCGTAGATACTGTGCGCCTGGCTTTGTTTCAGGCTTGAAACAGATGGAGGTTGGCCATTGCTCAAGCGCTTGGTGGACACTTCCCAGAGGTCCTTGTAATTCGCCACGCAGATTCATGGAGAGATGATCCTCGCGAAGACGTCCAGTCAAGTTGGTTCCTCATTCAGAGGGCTATCCGCCCAGCAGATCAGTAAAGAAATGCTGTTTCACCAGTAAGTTTTCAAGCGTGCAGGAGAGGACCACTGCGGTGTGGGACATGGCGTATCAGATACAGATACAAAACTGTACACGTGGGGATCTCCAAGTACTGTACGGCTGTTACAAGTTGTGTTTCACGTGTCCACGTGTACACGTCTAGAAGGTCCAGCAATGTCGGTGGCAGGGCAAGGGCAGGGCAGCCCAAAAGGTTTGGTGCAGGTGCGAGGGCTAGGGCAGTTTGAAGGCCGGTTCGCAAAGGGTGTTGCATAGCATAGATTTTAAACGGTATTTGCGACCGTTGCGCATACCGAGACACAAGCAGTGTCGGTATCATTGTAAGTTGCCACACGCAGTGGCTAGTTCAAAGGCAATGGACTAATAAGAGGGAGATAGAAATCGAGGCGTAGAGAGAGGCAGGAAAATATAGAGAGCGGCAGCGACGTTCAGGCTGATTGTGCCTTCCCACCGTGTTCGTAGAGTAGTGTTCTCATTTCACCACTGCAGCACATCCAAGGATGTCTTCATCCATGGATCTGACAACGCCACGGCGCGGAAGCTCCTCTTCGGTAAACTGACCAGAACCCGGAAGTGGAAGCGACCCACGGGCCTCACTACCGTACCTGACGGATTTCCGAGGAACGCCGCTCACATGCAGAGCAACATTCATTTGCAAGGCCGCGACCGGCAATTTGTCCGTGGTATTCCTTGATACTGTATCCCACCGGCCCTTCAACCCTCCACCGCATCACGCAGCGCCTGCAGTGCTGCGCTGCGGCCCGCAACAATCCCGCAACGACTGAATGTCACCATGCGGTCAAATGTGTCGACCACTACAAACTTGCTCGCGTGAAATCCCCCGCATTCCCATCTCGACTACCCGTCACAATTATCTCGACGTTGGATGGACTCTACAGTACAATTTGGTTAACGTGCAGTACCGTTATGTAAATACGTATGAGGTGGCCCTTTATCGAAGTGGCTCTGAAGTAGCTTTCAAAACTTGCATGCTTATCAGACACAGTGGCGCAGTTCCATATTGGTCAAACTAAAGAAACGCACAACCACCCCAAAAACTTAACGCCTCGTATGAAAGAGGAACTACCATTCACCAATACTCTCGTGACCAATTGCTACCTGCACTAAAGAAGGGCCAGGGTCTTGGAAATGTTCCAAACTCGCTCTAGTGCTTCGCTATACAGACTCGTCACTACTCGAAAAATGGAAAACATGTCCTCGTGTGTAATAGCATGAAGGTCGACACTGTCTTCAAACTTGTTTCAAGTATGGGGACTTACTTTTTTTTCGGGCTCACCAACTCTTTGCATCGTCTTCACGTCTGCAACCCGTTACTGAGTACGGTTCTGTTTCTCTTCAAAAAAAACGCACCATCCACCTCTTCCCCACCCGCCCCCTGCTGGTCTTCGT